TCGACTAAATTACAATGAGTTGTATTAACTACAGCTGCATTATGGCACTAGCACATGTTTGTTTAACGTGAGTTTAAGAGTTGTTAAATCATTACCACTCCAAAGATTTTTGTGAATAAACATGATGCTCAGATTAACACAAAGGCACAACGACTTCCTGTAATGCAGGTCCTGTGTCTCCATTCATCATATATGTCAGCTAAAGTGAAAAACAGAAACTGCTGAATGTCCTTTAGTCTATTCCTTTGGTCAGACATAAACTGATGTTTGGGTATATCTCACAGAGCTTGCATCTGTCTTGGAACTTTTCAGCCTTATCTTGTACTTTTCACAATTTAAGTTACTTAACAAAGTGATCATACGTCTACTTTAAATTAGTAGTGGTTTTTATGCTGATTATAATGTCTTGTTTCTTTTACTTTCCTATTAGAGCTGAGTGAAAAGCCCACACTGGAGATTCCTGAAATAACAGAGGGAGAGCAGACTACACTGACCTGCAGCGCTCCTGGTCTCTGCTCTGGATCCACTCCTAATATCACCTGGATATGGAGTGGATCAGGACAAAACCTCTATGAAATCAAAGAAAACAACACTGAATTCCAGTCTGAGGATATGCCTGTCTTCAATTCAACTCTGACCTTTAACGCTTCAACAAAACACAACGGTGGTCAGGTCACCTGTAAGGTCACCTGTAACGTGACCTGTAAGGTCACCTTCAAAAATGTCAAAACAAATGAGACCAAAACTCTTAATGTCAAGTGTGAGTATTACTCTTGGCAAAAGTATATTTTATCATTATTACAGTATTAGTAGTAGTAGCAGTAATTATAATAATGTTGTAATTACTGTAAGTGTAAAACTTTCATAACTGATATTATATTTTGTCTGCTCTTATTTTTTTGCATTTTTTACTTAAAAAAGCAGTTTTCATTAAAATCTGGAAAGTAAATGTAATATTAATTACATTGTTGTGTTCTTCGGTATCAGATATTCTTATATTGAAGCAATGTGTTAAAACTATTTATGTTCCTATGAGTTTACTGTAATCTTGATGCTGAGCTTCTTATTCTGTTTTTGCAGATGCAGCAAGAATCTTGAATAACTCTTGTGTCGCTCAGTCAAAGGTTTTGACCTGTGTGTGTATCAGTGAGGGGTTTCCTTCACCCACCATCAAATGGCCACACTTGGAGAGCCACACTGAGTACTCTGTAACAACCAATGTGTCAAACACCAGAGTCACCAGCACCATCACTGTGTCCCAAGATCACTATCACAACTCCACTATTGAATGTGTCAGCAGTAATAGTATTGGAAATACCTCATCAAGTGTCAGCCTTATACTAAAAGAGTTCAATGCTAATTCATCATCATCATCAAACAATACAGGAAATAACTGTAAGTATTTACGAGTTAAACATTTCCACTATACTCAAATTTAAGACATTTCAATACCTGTTTTCAGCTTTAGGTAATCAGCACGGTTTGTCTCATTTGATTTCAGATACATTCACAGAGTTTTTAACGATTATTCTAGAGAAGAAAGTCTACATTGCAGTGTTGACCGGGTTTGTGATTGGGATAATCCTTTCAACAGCCATTTCTTGTTTGGTAACAAAATGTCGCAGGTAATATTACTATTCTATTTTTGACATCAGTGTTTTTGTATATTTTATTTTATAAAAAGGAATTTTATATTTTCTGAATTGTTCATATTAATGCTCACCATCTTCCTGGTATACTCGAACGATTTCTGTTTGCACACATGTAAATTTCTATTAGGTAATTTTTATATAAAGTTTATTATATACTGTTAGAGATCCTAAATGGTGACTTAAGTTTTTATACCAGAACTTTCCACATATAAATACCATTATATATGGGAAAGAACTGAAACACATATTGTAAAATATCAAAATTGTCAGATATTGTATTGTAACCATTATCATGCTGCAATCATTATTTACTTTTTGTGAGTTTTCATACAGTTTTGGCTTATCTTACGTCATCAGCTTCCGAAAATTAAAACTGAGACACATCCCATCATATTTATATGTAAAGATAAAGTGCATTTTTTGATCCAAGATATTTCTTCGGCTTTTGACATGAGAAAAACCAGATTGAGCACAGAAAATAATCAGATTATCTGAACTATATGGGGTTTTTTTTTTGCCACGACACAACACTTCTGGTCTGCTGTGAGACCTTCACTAAGCTTCATTTCTATTAATTAATTTCTTCCCAGAAAAAAGTGGAAGAGGTCAGAAAATCTGTCTGAAAACCTGGAGATGGCGACTACTGAAGCTGGTCTAATGGTAACTTAAATAAGTACTTAGCCTTTGGTAACATATCTGAATATGATATTTATTTTATGATATTAGTTTGATTTTAATTATATTTTTGGTCAAATATTAAGCTAGTTTGATTTCTGTCATGTTATTACGTCATTATTGTTTTTTATAAGCTGTCAAATTACCTGTAATTGCTGTCTTGTGCTTGACAGATGGATGCTGATCAAGCAGCAACATATGATGGGATCCGTGAGCCAGAGGACGCTGAAGGAGAAGCTGAGTCTGTTGCACAATTACCATCCAATGGAAACTGCACAAAAGAGGTGGAGTACTCCGACATTAACTTCTCTGCACTAAGACCCAAGAACCCTGAAGAGGCAGCAAACACACAGGATGCCAGAGACACAGAGTATGCTGAAATTAAAAGAGAAGAAGTGAGACAAGAAGATGCCCAAGGGGAGAGTGAAATGTTGGAGGGCAATGAAGAGAATGAGTTCATGAGTAAAAAGGACAATGAGGAAGGTGAGGATGTGGGGCTGTATTCCAGTGTGGAGGAATTAATGGGTTAATTATGAGAGCTGTGAGATCTATCACATTTGGAGAAATTAACATTACAAACAGAAGATACATGCATGCTGCAATCAACGTATGCGTTGAGAATTGTGTGTGCGTTGTTAGCTGAGATGGAATTTCTGGGATTTTTCAATTACGAAAAATATAAGCATGTATGTAATATAAAAGGATAAACACGTTTCCACAGGACTTACAAAAATGGTAAAAATATCAGGCTGTGGTGTTTAATGTGGTCTAAACAGAAAAATAGTGGGTCGACTAATCAGATCCAGGTGCTGACAAAAAGGTTTTCATGAAATATCCTCTCATGTTATAACTTCTTTCTTTGGTATGTAAGTGGCAGTCGTTAGTGGAGACTCCACTTATTTAATACAAGGAAATATTCAGGTGTCAGCCATACTATGTAAATATTGTAATAAATCTTCTTATTTACTTCACCTTCAAAAGGTTGTTCCACAAGAACATAAGGTGAAACTGTTTAAATTAGGGGTGTCAAACTCCAGTTCTCAAGGGCCGGTGTCCTGAAACGTTTCCATGTGTCCCTGCTGCAACACACCTAGATAACTTTAGTATGTCATTTGCAAAATTCTGTAGAGTTTGACTGTCTGCTGAGATGGCAACCCCTAACCCAAGTCAAGTAAATTTAAATAAATGAAGTGGAAAATGTACGGGTAAAAGTACTTTTATTGCACTGTGTTCATTCACGTATGAGCTGCTGTGAATCAAATGGCTGAATTCCCCATCTCAGCATGCTAATGACCTACTAATGTTATTCAGGTGTGTAGCAGCAGGGACACATTGAAAAGTTTCAGAACGCTGACCCTCGAGGACTGGAGTTTGACACCTGTGGTTTAAAACATGAATATAAATGTTAAATCTTTGAGAAAAAGTTTTTGTATGCAAACAATATTCTTTACATTTTGCATATCTCTGTATGATACATCAGGTAGAATTAGCAGCTTTATGTAACAGTCAAACATTTCATCATGTTAATAAAATTCAGTCATAAATAAGGTGAATGCAACTGAAATCAAATTCAAGCTCAGAGTGAGAATTTATTCAGTTACATTATTGAGTTTATGCAGGAGGGGAGAGAACACCTTTGCTTTGTTTTAAACCATAAAAAGCTAAAGGAAAGCACACCCTGGTAAAGCTTTTGTACAAATTCAGACCACGCATGGCATTTTCTAGTTTGACGCCTCTCAGACGAGGGTTGTCTGTGTTCTGCTGAACTGCTGTAAATAGTGCAACTGCAAAAGTCCAGCTCCACCTTTCAGGCTACTTCCCAGCTCCACAAACACTGGACTAAGGGGGTCATAATATTTAGATTTCAGGTTTCTTTTACAGCTTAAAATTGACCGTTATAGTATCTTACTGTGTCAAAATGTGAGAACAGGAAGATTAGATCCACCGATAATAGAGTGATGCCTAATAAGGAAGTATATATATATATATATATTCGTCTGTGACTCTTGTGAGAACAATAACTAGTTCATGAATACTGTGCATGTGTACAGATGACAGTTGTAAGTAGATGAATGCTCAATCTTTGTGTTTGAATCTGCGGGTATCTAAAGCATCTTTTAAGTAATATTGTTTTAATCATATATTTTTTTAATATGGTTTTCATATATCAGTAATCGCACACCATCATACTTTAAACAGTATGCACTGTGTCAGCTATTTCACAGTTTAAAGTGGTGATGAGGCAAGATAAGTGAAGATAAGGTTGTTGTTGGTTGGTTGGTTAGCATGACAACACATTGTTTCTCCTGTTTTTAGCAACTGTTGTGTACTTCCTTTTTTATGATTTATGTCACTTATAGTCATTGCTACAATGAAAATACCTTTTTGTGCTCTTTGTTACATTTATTTTTAGCATACTGTGATAGCCTGAGATTGAGGAATTACTGTAGTGTGAGGAGAAGAGCAGTTATACTTTGCAGTAAATGTTTGTGCAGGTTTTGTTTTGTTTTGTTTGTTTGAATAAATGGAAGCAAATGCTCATAAGTTTTTTCAGACCTGCCGTTAAACATGTTTTGGGTTTGGGGGATCCAAAATTGATTCCCAGGGGGACTGCGGTAGTAAAATGTAGTCACATGAGTATGGAAAATATGAATTTGCAACATCCTGTAGTGGCATCTGTGTTAAACCTGTTTCCTGTGCAGTTTGCTTCCTGTACATTTTTATTGAGCATTCTTCTGTTAATAAAACTATTGAATTTTTAAAGAACAAAAAAAAAAAACTGCCTCTTGTCTTTCCTGAGAAGATTTCTCAACATCCGGATGAGCCTGCTCTTTAAAATTAGGCGCAACAAACAACACAGTAACTGAGTTTATGTTGTTGGTCCTCACTTGAAAGTTTATTTCTCTTTCAGTATAATTTTAACCTCATCAGCACCGTTTTCAGAAATATGTAACACACTAAATTTTCTTAAAAATTGCAGTGTTTATTTTCTTTTTCTTGTTTTTTCTATTAACTATAGCACTTTAATTAACTGCTATTTAGTTATACAGTTCATTAAAGTGCAACACTTTCCTCTTTAGCATATGTAAGAATGACATATTTCTTAAACTCTGCTGCAAATAGCATTTCCTCTTTCAGGGCTTAGGTAGAAGCCTTGCAAACTTAGATTTGATGAAGTCTGTCTTCAATAGTAAATCTATTTCATGATATATTAATAACATTTTCAAGTCTTCTGTCCCTAAGGTATCCTTCTTCTTGAACATTGGCCTTTTTGTTGAGATTTGGTGTTGAGTTCAGTGCATGGCTTCTCTGGAGGCAGCAGTGTGCAGTGTTGTTGAACTGCATTATGATATTACTGGCCACTTCATGAAGTACACGTTGCTTTTGCACCTTGGATCAATCTTTTGATTTTGAAGTGTTGTACATTCAGAGATGTTCTTCTGCATACTGGGTATAAAGAGCAGTTATTTGAGCCTCTGTTGCCTTTCTATTAGCTCAAAAGAGCACAATCATTGAGCTCTGACATCAGGCAAGGACGTTTTTAGCCACTTTCTGGATATTTTCTCTTTTTGAGACCAATTTCATAGATCTTTCTGTAAACATTAAAGACTATAAATAGCACAATTCAATCAGGACCGTCCTTTAAAAAAATGCTGAATAAGTAAATTATAAAGATAGATAACTTTGTAGGGGTGTAGGGTGGGGTTATGTTAACCATAAATTGAAATTTGTCTTCAACATGGATGAAAATTGATAACAAGCCTCATAACTAGAAAACTATGATTCTTACAACTGTCTTAAGGCTATCTTTATATTTCTATTTACGAGGAGTAAAAGCCAAACTTGCGGAGGAAACCTGTCAGCGAGCACGTTTAGTTCACAGAGTGCGCCACCCCAACAAGTGACTCAGACGTTTGCTCTATTTCTGCATCAGAAAACCCACAGTTACCTTATTTCACAGTTAACAAACTCAGTTTGACCTAAACGTGCTTTCTGGAACAACAGGTCTGACTTTTAATGGCTTTGACACAACACAAATGGCACTCAAACAGCTACACAATGTGACAGCAAAAGTAGTCTGGACTGTGCATCTGCCAGCAAAACCTAATATTTTTCATCATGTAGCCTTAGCGCTGCATTTAAATATACAAGTTACTTTTACTTTAAATAAATAACATTGTGGTCACCTATTCTGCTCCATTACAACTCCACATATTTATTCTTGCACTCTATTAGCAGGAATCATACTATAACATAATCACTGTTTGTCATATAATGAGCTATGATGCAGTTTTTGGAGCAAACATTTTCAGCTCCTTTCCCTTTAAGACTACCTGCCATTTACCGTAACCTTTTCATCAACAACAGCTTTTAATAGTACGTCAGGACTCTTAGCAACAGAGCTCTGTTGCATTTATATCATTATATATGATCAAGACTAGAGAAAAAAAACTAATGTGTGTTTAGCCTGACATTTTGGCTCACAAGGATTGCTTGCAGATAAGCTGGCCTCATTATTTAATATTGATCATGTCTGATATCTATTTTGAACATTCACCAGCATCACAGGTCTGCTTTTGAGGTTTTATTTCCTTCTTCGGTTTCAAGCTGTATTTAACAATTTAATCTGATCTGTTACAAGCCCACTGAAAGCAGCCAGGGTGTTTACGTAACATTATATAAAAGTAAAATTTTCAAAGCAGAAAAACTGTTTTTCAAATTCATATAATTCAAAATATTGCATTAGAGATATGCAGTAAGAGTAAAGACTATGAACAAGGACGATTTCAAATGGAGATAAAACTGACTGGAAGAATGAAACCTCAGCAGTCACTCTAATAGTGACCTGCACAACATACGTAGCTCTAAAGCAATATATCACAACCCAGATCTATGCATGGAAATGTCTCTTGAAAGGAGACTTATGGCTACCTCCGGCTTTGATGTTGTGATTCAGCGTGTTTGCACTGCGAAGGCCTGACCTTTTTCATCAAAATGCCACTATTAAGGAACTGCACTAAATCTGCTGTCATTTCTGTCCATGAACCACGAGGTCAACAGCACCGTCATCCTTACTGTAAAAGATTAAAGAAGAACTTCTGCTGCATGTGTGAGTGGAAATGAAAAAGGGAGAAATAAAAGGGAACCTCACCACAAAAAAGTAGAAGAAGGCAGTCCCTCATCATCATTTCTAATTATATCTTCTTCTTCTTTTTTTACCACCACTGTTTCTTGACATTAGTTTGACAGTTTTTAAAATCTATATCTTTATAGAGTAACAAACCTATTGTATGTAAAAGGAGAAGCACTTCAAACGAAGAGGAAGAAGGTGATCAAAAAAGGGTTCCGTAAGTCAAGTGTGACAATAATTAAGAAATGTTACACCTATGTTGTATTTTAGCAGTTGTTGCTATAGTATAGCTTAATAAAGGAATGAACTGCAAAGACAGAAATAAACAAACTGATGACTTTTGTCAAGAAGTTTGACTAGTATTCCAGTTTGTGCAGCAAAATGTGTTCCGTGTTATTAAAGGCTGCTGTGGTATTTTACTCTATGTTGACATCTAGTGGTTTTATTAGGAAACTGTTGTTTACAGCAGTGCAGGAGCCTATGTGAGCGGTTTTAAATGTATCAGGTGTACCAAACAGGTGATGAATGGCTCACTATTTGTCACCTCTCAGGTGAACGGCTGATTCAAATGAGAGGTGAATGAACAAATCATTTGCGGACTTCTCAAAAAGTGAGTCTCCTTGTTGATAAGCAAAGCAGCATACAGGAAAAAGAAAATGGGCCAAAGAGAAGGGCAATGGTGAAACTTAGAAAAGCAGCAGTAAAGTGAGGTGAGGACAAAGTTAGTCACCTCAAAGCTTTCAATTTCAAATCTCATTCTGTTTCTGCCTACACAGTTTACACAGGATGGTCACACTCTATCAGGGTCTAATTTAAAAATAAAGCACACAAAGTCCATGTTAAATGTCTTAAACCTGAATTATTTCAAATGGGCAACAGGGGGCGACTTGTGTGGTTGCGACAAAGAAAGTGTCCAGCTATTTAAAAGTCTATTTTCAGAAAATTTTTTAATTTAAATGGAGAAGACATCAGTCAGCAATCCATTTTCTTCTACTTCCACATCTATGACCAATTTAGAACCACCAATTAACCTAAAGCCCTGCATGACTTTGGACTGTAGGAGGAAGTCAGAATGTTCAGAGGGAACCAGCAGAGAACGTGCAAACACCACACAGAAAGGCCCCAGGCTGGTTTCAAACCTAGGACGTTTTTGCTGGGCGACAACAGTGCTGACAGCACCACCCTGTACGTCTTTTTGATCAAGTACAAAGACAATAAAAAGCTGTGAATATATAATGTAGAATTTCATTTTGCTGCATATTTGCCGTTCTGATTTTTGCATTAAGATGGACTAGTGTATACTGTACAGGGCTGCATGAGCTGGCATATCATGTGAAGAAATATAGCATGTACAACTAGCTAAGATCATACTGTGGCTTTAACCCTTTCATGCATAGTGGTTTGTATTCCAGCACACTTGCATATAAACCACTACATTGACACTGATGTGTCACTCCATACCCTGCCACCCAGTCAAAACATATGTTGTCCACCTAAGTGGACATGTAGAAAACTAAATCTTTAAAAAAATGAAGTTCAAAAATCTTGTTTGGATGCCTAAAGATGAATAAAAATAATTTTAAAAAACCTGATTGAGGTTGTCATATGCATGCATGAAAGGGTTAAAAAAGACTTTAAGCTTGACTAAGAAATGTATGTTTAATTAAAGTGAACATCAAAGTTCATGTTCATGCACTATTCGTGTGGTGGGCTATTTTGAGAACTTTGCTTTTAATAGATAAGATCAATACCACAGACACAGGCTCGCAGCCTACATGTGGTATTGCAAAGACGAAAGCTATTGCTCTGTCTGTCTGCCTAAAGCTCAGGACTATAACCATACATTTTGTTTTTTTGATCCACACAGAAACAGACATGTAAAAAACAAAAAAACAAACTGTAACACATTAACTACATCTTGCCCACAGGTTTCCTAGCAACTTGGTTCTAATGTCAAGGTGTCACCCAGCTGTGACAGTAAGTTATGGTTGAGAAAATCTGGTATAGAAGTAAAACAATTGTCCCTTGCTGTCAAATAGATGAGGAGTTACTCACAGATGGAACCTAAAATAACATCTGACGCTTAGCAGGTGCTAGTTATTTTGCATACAGGGTTCCTCTAAAAATAAGAAGGGGGAAACTCTGTATTTTTCACGACTTTTGAACATGCAGTACTGCATAGCTCTAACAGTTTTAATGGTTGTTCCTCTTTATTAGTAATGCCAAAAAGGAATTTAATAAATGAAAGAAAAACAAAACTGTCAGGTTGCTCTTTCACTGTGTCAGCACTAATAAAGAAAGAAGCAGAGGTACAGAAACAGATGCTGAACTGTAGCACTACCATGAGGACATCTCCATATCATTCAGGTGTTGTTCTATATACCCTAAATAAATCTGCTGGTTTAGGGCTTAACCTCAAGTGTAATTTCCAGTCAGATCTTGTAATCTGAATTATAGACAGCTATCGGGGAATATTCATAATCTTTATTATTAGTTTATTAAGTGTAGGTTCAAACTGTGTTTTGTATAATGATGATTTACTTTAGTGAAGGTCATAAACCCAGTTACAGTGCAAAAGATACAATCCCTATATAAATATATAGTTAGGTTGTAAATTGAAGCTTCTCATTTTAAAATTTATGGCAATTACTGAATTTTTCGTGGTATAATGTTGTCCTATTTTTGCCTGACATAGGATTATAGCTGCTCAACAGTGCTGGGTCTTGTTTGCTAGATTTTTTTTTTTCATATTATGATGCACAACTGTGCAACATGTTTGTAGCTGGTGAAACATCTGGACTGTAGGCAGAGTCTTT